TATCTTACTACTATTATCAGTAGTATTAGTAGTAATATTATTATCCTTTTTTTAGACGGTTATGACGGAGTTTTATTCTTTAAACTATAAATCTCCTCCACCATTACTAGACGGCTTTTATTCACATCTCAAGTGAATATAAGTCTTTAATATATCAATAAATGTAAATACTCCCCTTTTAAAAATAGTGCAAATCAAACAAATGAAGAAGCACTGCGTAATAAACATTAAAAAGTTAAAATTAAAAAAACTTAATAATTTGATGAAACAAAATTTACATGAAAATATTCACAATATGGTAATAAGTAACCATGGTGATAAATCTGAGACCCATATAGAAACAAACAAACATACATACATACATACATACATACATGCACAAATACTTTGTACATGTATGGTAGGATTGTTGGTTTGTTTCTTTTTAAATATAATTAAGTAGTTTGTTCTATTTTGGATGATAACAATGAACCATCAAATGATGTCACATATAATTTAAGATTATTTCGGTATAAGCATAATTTTTAGTTTATAGATTGGCTATGAGATTACACTTGTCAAAATGTAATATCTACAATTGTATAGGTTGAGAATGTAATTTAATGAAAAGGGAGATCTTTACTCTGGACATTGTATTTTTGAAACTTGATGTAGAAATATTTATTTGATAAGATTATTTTAAATCCTAACAAGCCCAATATTTATTATCATAAGAATATATTATGAATTTAGTAGATTTGTTTACGCAGATGTGAGGGTGCGGATCGGCAAAGCAAGTGAAGCATATTTACAACTGAAGAACATCTGGAACTCAAAACAATCGTCAATCAACAACAAGATCAGAATTTTCAATACAAATGTCAAGACGGTTCAACTGTATGGAGCGGAAACCTGGAGAACTACGAAAGACATCATCCAGAAGATACAGGTGTTTATTAGCAGTTGTCTACTCACGATACTTCGGATCCGTTGGCCAGATAATATCAGTAACAACCTACTGTGGGAAATAACAAACCAGATTCCAGTGAAGGAAGAAATCAGGAAGAAGTGATGGAAATGGTTATGACACATATTGAGGAAAGCACTCAACTATGTCACAAGACAAGCCCTCACATGGAATCTTCAAGGCCAAAGGTGAAGAGGAAGACCAAAAAACACATTGCGCTGAGAAAAGAAAATAGATATGGAAAAAATGAACGAAAAATTGGATAGAACTAGAAAGGAAATCCCAGGACAGAGTGAGTTGGAGAATGCTGGTCGGCGGCCTATGCTCCATTGGGAGTAACAGGCGTAAATAAGTAAGATTCGCTTATAGAATAGTAAATGATCTTGTATAAGCATTTGCACATCATTCTCAAGAACTCATCAAGCTCATAAAAATAAATTATCTGAAGTGTAGAATGAATATCAACGATATGATAATAACAATAATAATGTATATTCAAGTTTGAATTTAGCCGATGTTGATATCATCAGTCGTTATAATAACATATATGAGTCCAGAGTAGACTGCCCCGATATTGCCATGTCAGACATTTGTATTTGTAGAAATTGAATACTGAAAAGCAGAGGAATATCAAATACACGTTTCGTTCTACTCACGGATTGTCAGTTCGTCTTAAAAACCATATATACACATAAAGATCTTATTATCAGTAAATCAAATAAGCGCATGTACATCAGCTTAGCTATTTTTGAGCACGTTATTTCACTACATTCACAATGTAGCTAAGACAAGAAATCTTCGATTTTAAGTAATTAACACATACTTTTTAAGCGGACATATATAGTACTTCCAATTGATCATGTTTCAATAATTTTTAATTTTATCGAAGAAAAAACACCATGACAACAGCGAGAGAAAAATAAACCTCTGAAATGTTAGTCTTAGATTTTACTGCTGGCTACAATTCATCTTTTCTAAGTTAGTAACCACAAAACCTTTAGGATTGAACAATCAATGGTCATAATAATTAAGTTTGCAGTCAGATATAAATAAGCTATTTCTAATCATTGATAAAATCCCTCATTTCTTCTTTAAATAATAATGAATATCCATATCCTTTTAGCTTGACCATAGATGTATCTAGAATGTTACGATATAAAATATGGATAACCGTGTATTTATAAAGTAAGTTATTAAACTCGTATCAGTCCGTCAGCTACGACGTAGGACCAGGCACACATATTCATCTGTTCAAGTTGACATACCTCATTAGCACAACAAGATGAACACCGGATTCATAGAAGTAATTAATTTAGTGGTGGTAGTAGTATATAAATTATAGGTTGTATATAAGGATATAGTATAGGAAGGAAGACAGATATGAAGCAATTTCAATATCAAGGTTTAAGGGAAGAAAAAGAGTGTATACACTTGCGCCATTGTGATCGATTCTGAGCCATGTCACACAGAGTCTCCAATCATTGGTTACGATAGTCACGTGAACCCCAACCAAGTAGACTGCATCTACCAACATGGCTCAGACTAGAAGTTAGTGAATTTAAGCTCAGATGCCACGTTTTGGTTTGGCCGCCCCTATCTCTTTTCCAACCAACCCCAATACTAGTCAGCATTGCGCGTTGTGGCAAACGGATTAAACTCACTGTTATAAATTAAACTCGTATTTATAAAAGTGAGTGATCAAATTATATAAATTAGAATTCAGTAACCAGTATGTTTTATTTTCTTTAATGTAATGAAGAATAAATTTACGTGAACATTGATACATTTGTATGAAATCTTTCACTAGCTAACAAAACACTATAAAATATACTGTATATTGTTATCAATCTTTGTTGAATTAATACTTTACTGTTTGCTCAAATCTCTATTCTTGCTATTCTTGCTATACTACTGATGTCGATAGTTATAAGTAGTATGTATCATTAATAAAAAGTGAAATACCTGTCAGTAGAAGGTAAAGAAGTAAACAAGAACAGAGAATGATTGGTGTGGGAAAGAAGAGTCAATCAAGTCTGAGACAGTTGTTCAACATTTTGTAAATGAAGTATTTACTGTATGGTACTCAGATTTTACTAAGATGTTCTGTAATTTTGTGTTGACATACATTTGGTTGTCCCTATTTGTGTACTCATTCACTACAGAACTATGTATGTGAAACGTAATTAGTCAGTAAAAATAATTAACTAAGCTCATAATTATCGTTAGTCAACACTGAAAAAACCCATATATTTCGACGTCATTCTATCTTCTCGTGTAAATAAAGCAACACTATAATTTATGGATAAACCAATCAAATGTGAGATAATAGGTTTTGTATTTTGGTTAAATAACGTTTTAGCATTTTAGCTGATATCAGTTCATAATGAAAACCTTATATCGAATTACTAACCTTAACCGTCAATTGTATATCATAATTCTAATTCATTACATTACTTTATAACTCTCATTTAGTCTTAGTTAGTAGGTAGACCAAGGCGATTTTAGCGTCGCTCAAATATGCGTCCATATATTATAGTCTAACCATAAATAACAGTGGAATTACATAATTTTGTTAAAATATAGTATTGTGCTACATGTTATCAAATGAATTCACAGATCATATGTCATAAAAGAATGATCTGTTTGTAGTGTTTATACAACATCCAGATTTTCTTACTTTGATCAACGAAATTAATTACTAATTAGGTGTCGTTTTAATATTCAGGAAATTAAAAAAACGAAACTTGACTGAAATGATATTTTTTTCTTTCTATTTCAATTAGATTCTAACAACAGTTCTACACTGATATGAGTCTGATCAGTGGAGCTAATCCGTGTCAGGTAGAGACAGGTATCGACCTAAATACAACGAAAGATGGTCGCTCAATTTCTTGGATTGGTTGGAGTTAAACTTTAACACCGTTGGATGTCAACCGGCTCAGTGGTATGGAGGTTAAACATTCACGGACGAGACCGAAGGCCCTGGGTTTGAATCTCGTAAGCAAAAACGTAAATGCGCACTTATGAGGAGCCCCAAATTATATATATATATACATTGTCATCTTTAGTTTTGATAATTATTTAATAGTTAACTGAACGTGAATGTGAATCAAGCAGTTAGTCATTGAAAACGAATACGCAAGTATTTGAATAAAATTTAGAAAAATCTTAAATGCACATTTTAAATTAAACTGGTGATCAAAGTAAAAAGTAAATATCGTGCAAACATTTATGAATTTCAAAATTGGTTATATTTAATGAGAGTCCTATTTATTCTACTGTACGGAAAGATGAAATCCTCGTTTGATTGTAATTTCCTCAACAGAATTAACTAACCTAATAAATCTCTATAAAGGTATATGTAGGTGCCAATTTATAAACATTTTATAAACTAATTATTATCAAAATCTAACAAATTTATATTTATAGTTGAAATCATGAGGCAATTGAAGTTAGACCACTGTGATAAACCTGAAAGCACTGAACAGCCGTTTCATCCTATTACGGGACTCCTCAGCAGTGCATATCCTATATCACATCTCGCGAACTCAGGACCTATCAATCTCACACACACAATAGGACAAAACGGATGTCCGCTGCTTCCAAGTTTTCCTTGGTGGTTTAGCTTTAATTGACTCATAATTTCAACTATATATAAAAAATTACTAAAATCTCCACCAAAACCCCCACCTGATAAAATTTATTATTGCTACACATTATAAGCTGTTACATGTTATCGTACCGTTTAAAAATATTCGATTATACTTTATATAACCCATTCAAATCAATTTTATAAAACAGATCAAACAAAAACCATCTTATGCCTTAATATTAAATAAGAAGAATGTATTCGTAGAATCTCAATCAATGAATATGAGATTTTACAAATTCATTCTTCCTATTTAATGTCTCACATCAACCCGACGCTTAAATACTTTGAAATTATTCAATCTCATTTAGATGAAATTTCAGTATTTATACCTTAACAGTTTTCAATATAAAAATCACATGTATACAACCTCTCTCTCATATTCAAAAGAAGAAAATAACTTACCAAGATCAAGACTTCTAAGTCTCCAATATTCAACATTTTCTGGCATATTTTTTAATAAAGTATGTTCCATAATAAATCCATATATACATGTTTGTAATAGGAATATTAGTAGTAGTATTAGTATTAGTAATATATTTAAAATCCATAAAATATTATTCATTTCTTTACTGTTTTATTACTAATATTAGTAGTATTATTAATGATTATTATTATTATTCATTTTATACATTTTTATAAAATAGCAAAAATCAGTTTTAAAATGCTCTAAAACCATAAATATAATTTACAAAAATAATTAATTTTAAAATGTAAAAAAAAAACAAACTGACCAATCATATTGCTATAATATACTGATTTTTCATTGGCTGAAAATAATCCCAATTACAATTGTTGTCAGTATTATCATTATTATGATAAGAGTTTTTAATTTTTATAGTTGAAAGCATGAGTCAATTGAAGCTAGACCACCAAGGAAAACCTGAAAGCACTGGACAGCTGTTTCGTCCTATTGTGGCACTCCTCAGCAGTGAGCATCCACGATATCGCCTCGCGAGATTAAAATCCAAGACCTACTAGTCCTGTTTAATTTATTATTATTCCCTGATTAAATGATATTATACTTATGGAAACTTTACAGGGATATTATTTTAATTGATCTTTACAATTCCATTCATTAAATTTAAGAAAAAAATTGGCAAGAACTGTAAAATGATCAAGGATCATTCGATATAAATCAGTTATTAACTATCCTTAATATTTCTATATCAAGTTATATTTCAAGTTAACTAGTTATAAAAATGATTTTGGTCTCGATATACATCTTTACGACGACAAAGTGAATGATGGATATAAGATGATGGTTTGTGATTCATTAGAAATAGCGTACAGTTATCAACATTCATGGACGTTTAGTGTATATTAACCTTTTCTTAAGATGACATTAAATAATAGATAGTTATCGTTGTAATGTACAAACCATGATAGCGAATCGACTTTATGGATGGATTGAAGAAAATCATAATAGATTCTCGAAAATCTGCTTGTAAATTAATTCACAAAAAGATTCGATTTAAAGTGAGGCTAGAGATTTTGATAAAAAAATTTACAAATATTATGACTCGATCATATCAATGAATATTGTTATATCCCTAGGAGATTTATGAATGGTAACTTTGAGGACTATTTATGCACCAATGTGATATGCATATTTCCTATTGCATAATCCTTAAGTAACCAAACTGTTCATATTCGTGTTCCTGTTATGATAAGCTTTATTTTGACCTATTAACTATTATTATACGATTTATCATTCTTGAGTTATCCTAAGTCAATTAATTACTGTTCCCCCTATTCACAGCCACATTTTGCTAAATCTTGTACACATGTTATTTTCTATTTTGTGGTACGATGTGGTCTGTTTGTTTAGTATATAAACCCAGTACGTTTGAGAATAACGATTCATAATTCAGAGGCTGTTATAGGTGTTCTGGACTTAACTGGCTGAACTGGGCAGAAAGCAGGACTGACAAGTAGTCAAGATTGCTCATACGGCTTTTGTGTATCATTGAGCGATCAATATATTCACTGCTCTCTCGTTGGTGGGAATTAGCACGTTCATATATTAAACAACGTTCGCACGCACTCACAAGGTATAACAAACTTAAAATATATTTTATTTAGTATTTTTGAGATTAGATTTAGCTCAAATAGACGCTTTCATGAAGGATCATGCCATAGCCTAACAATATCTTGATATATAGTTATATGTACAATAACTTCCAGGAATACAATGCTCAGAGTGCTTCTAATTAACTTCCTATTTAAAGTGAGTCCTGATACAAAAGTAATTGAAAAACTAACATTATTTGGTTTTTATTTGATGATTATTTTAAAATTCCATCGCTTTTTAATTTAGTTCTACCAAGAACCCAAAATCATAGAATGTAACGTTATTTATCATTCATTTACTCATTAGAAATAAACTAGTTTTGTCAGATTGAACAAATCGCTTAATGAAAAAGATAGAAGTGAACAATTTTTTGCCACGCCGTGGCACCTTCCATCTAATTTACCAGTTTACTAGTTTTTGCAAAATCACATATTTTGAAAAAGAGTAAAAAGTGTTCCTTTTTCTCACTTAGAAATATATTACCCTCACACAATCCTAGGCATAATTACCCATCAAACATTGTTTACGTCTTTACATTTCATTGAACTTATGAAACGATCCATATTAAACGTCTTTGAAAAGACTGAAAGCATTGAACGACCGTTTAGTTCTAATACAAGACTCTTCAGTGGCGATGCGCATCCACAAGTCTGCTCATGGAAATTTAACCCAGGTAATCCGGCCTCGGGTAAGAATCAGCCATCCAGTGCTTTTAGATTTTCAATGACAGCCTAACTTAGGTCATCTCATGATTTGAATGAAATCCAATAATATCAATAATCCATTACTGTTTTATAAAATATATTTTCTACATGAATAAATTCAATTGATATTTAACATTCATTTAAAGAATACCAAAAGTGGAATATATCAAGCTAAAGAACATAAAATTCGTTGATAGATTGGTATTTTGTCAAAATTGTCAATATAAATTTCAGCATAGTCTATCCTTTACCTCCACCTCATACTGTAATAATAATAATCATTATTCAATTGACAATTTTCTTGTCTTAAATAATCTCTCTCTACGTAAATGTCATCTATTTTGATGTCATGATATAATTCTGTCATTACTCGTCATATGGTCATAAGATAAATATAGATATATACCCTTAACATATAATTTTAATGAAGTATATCATGTTCTATAGCAAAAAAGTGAATATTAAAATGAATCCATCATTGGATCTCAGCTCAGTCGTCTATAGGCTAAGTGTTCGCTCACGAGATAAGTTCGATTCACTGTTCTGTAGTCACGGATGCACACTCGTATACGAAGACGACAAAGCCGCCCTGTGTTTTTTCTCACATTATCAGTATTTGTCCAACTTAAATGGGTTTTTGATTTCAATGAAATTCATTATATTTTACAAGGGTTAAACAAAAGCCGAATTATTTGTGTAGCGGATATGTGGACATTGTGAAACTTCTTAGTTACCCGTTTTAGCTACATATATTTATTATAACCAATGAGTGACATGGAACAGAATTGGTTGCGATGAAGTAGGTGCATTCAATCTTTAGCTTGTACTAGATTTTAAACTTTCAAATAATCTAGGAACTTTAATTTCGTTTCATTAATCATATATCCCATGTTTAGTATTTTCTATTGCTAATATATCTGACAACAAGTTACCAGTCTTTTTTAGAGAAAGTCATTGAATTTGTGCTTTAGTGAGTATACCAACACTATGATTTATGCTCAGCCAAATGACTGCTCTCAAGTAGGAAGAAATATATATCCTTAATCTCACCATTAATCACTACCCAACTCAAAAGAAAGCTTACGACTAAATGAAGATATTGAGGTAATTTGAGCAGCCTATTTATAAAGACGGATCAAATGGAGTCCTTAAAATCAATGGGGAAATAAAAATCTCTAAACATGAAATTCATATCCATTGAACCATGTAGTACCTATCTAGACTCAACAGCTCAGTGGATAACTCGTTAACCGTTAGAAAACGAAAAGTTTTGGAATCGAATCTCAAAACTCACATCCAGATACATCTAGCTGGCTAGTCCATGACAGGACAAGACATTTGTTCTCTATCTTCTATTACCTAACACTAAGTACATAATTTAAAGTAGGCTCTTCTTAAGCATCAATCAAAGCCTTGAAATGACTAGTTCCATTACTATGCACAGAAAAATAATTCACTTCTTATTTATCGGTTAGAAATGACTTTTATTTTGTTATAAGAGGGACTATATTTCCAGTAAGGACCGGAGTCAGACAAAGATAACTACTCTCCCCCTTCCTCTTTCTTCTGGTGATTGATTAGATTATGAATATCTCGACACCTGAGGGGAAGCACGGAATACAATGAACATCTCAGAATCAATTAGATGATTTGGACTTCGCAGATGGCCTAGCTATCTTATCTCATACACACGAACAAATACAGACGGAGACAGTAGATGTAGGAGAAGCCTCTGTATCAATAGGCCTCAACATACACAAAGGAAAAAGCAAAATTCTCAAATACAGCACAGAGAACGTCAATGCAATCACACTTGGTGGCAAAACTCTGGAGGAGGTGGAAAAATTAACGTACCTGGGGAGCATCATTGATAAACAAGGAGGATCGGATGCAGATGTAAAGGCGAGGATTGGCAAAGCAAGGGCAGCATTTCTACAACTGAAGAACATATAGAACTCAAAACAACTGTCAACTAACTTCAAAGTGAGAATCTTTAATACGAACATCAAGACAGTCATACTGAAACGTGGAGAACCACTACATCCATCATCAAGAAAGTACAAGTACTTATAAACAGTTGTCTACGCAAAATGTTCAACATACACTGGCTGAATACTATCAGCAACAGCGTTTTATGGGAGAGGACAAACCCGTTTCCAGTTGAAGAGGAAATTAAGAAAAGACGTTGGAAGTGGAACATACATTAAGGAAATCACCGAACTGCATCACGTCGCAAGCCCTAACTTGGAATGCGGAAGGGAAGCGGAAAAGAGGAAGGACAAATAACACATTATGCCGGGAAATAGAAGCAGATATAAAAAGGATGAATAACAGCTGGAAAGAACTGGAAAGGATTGTCCAGGACAGGGTTGGATGGAGAATACTGGTGGGTGGCCTATACTCCTCAACGAGGGGTAACAGGCGTGTGTAAGTAAGAGGGATTATATTTTTCGTTTGATAATATTTCTGGACAGACAATACGAACTAATTGAGTTCACAATAATGAGTGAACCTATTTTTTGCTGTTGAAGCCCAATAAACGACCTGAATGGTTTTCACAATTTCCTATGCAACATCAATAAAAAGATAATTAATAAAAAATAATCATATGACACCACAAAAGTGAATTTTATTACTAACAATGTGTGCTGTTACAGTGTTTATGATTTGTATTTCTTCGACACTGTCGTACAAATTAGTAGACGTCGGAATCTTTCCGTTGTTGTGACTAAAGATTGAAATTGATCAGATTTCAAAATTATGGCGACATTTTTCAATACCCAGTGCTAGCGTACGAAGACATCATTACGGATTTCAAGGAGGACGTTATAGTTGAGCGGCTACAGCAGATAAGATTACTGAGAAATTCCGTTATTTGTGATGGCGGGGT